TAATAGGAAGAAGAAGAGGAGTGATGGGAGACGAAAATAAGTGATGAGAAACAAAAAGAAATGATGGGGAGTAAACAGGAGAGAAAAAGAAATAATGGAAAATGAAAAGATGTAATAGAAAATAATGGGAGACGAAAAGGATGGAGTAATAGGAGGTGAAAAATGATGAGAGATAAAAAATAAAAAAATGATCATGATAGGAGGTTGGGTAGCAAAAGATAATGATAGGAAACCAAGTAAAAAATAAATCATAAAGTAAAAAAAATGAAGTTATTAAGAAACGAAATATTAGATAGAAATAAAATAAAAAAAATAAATAAAAAATAAAAAACATACCTTTATTAATTGTAGAACTGGAAGGACTAAAAGACCTAAAAAGAATGAAATAGAGTTAGTAGGAAACAAAGTGTAAGGATGTAAGTTAGAAATAAAAATAAAAAGAAAAAAAGAAAAATACCTCGAGACTGAAATAACTGAGAAAATGAACCTTGAACCTATAATGAAAATGAGATTCTATAAACAAATAAATATGACAAATCTGCCATATGATCGAAGACCCAGGCGATGTTTACCAATTTCCAATATAATTTATACCATTCTAATATTATAATTATAATTTTAGTACATATTATTTTGTTAACTAATTATTACCTATATTAAATTCTAATTATAAACAAAAAACTGCTGTAACCATCTTTGATTTACTTAGTATTACATTATAATACAAAAATTTTCTATTTAAACAAACTCATTGGTCCCAGTGCGGAGCAACGGGTAACTGCTAGTTGTTAACTAAAAATTTAAATTTTTTATATTACTGTAAATACTACTTGACGAGTCAAACCCGGGTTATCCGAGTCAGACTATAATCAGGTCAAGTCGAATCTGGGTCATTATTTTTACACTCGGGTCGAGTTCGAATACACCTCAAAACCCGACCCGACTCACCTCTTCGGAACACTAATTTATTGTTATAATTTGGCGTTTACGAACTAGTCGAAATTTGGTGTGACTACTGTAACTTCTGTTTTATATGTTGAGAGAATGTGTAAATTTGTCGTTGCTTATTCATTTATTCACAAAATGACAAAATGAGAAGAAAAATGCTTTTTAGTCGGTATCCTATTAATCAATTTATAGGTATTTATCTGTATGCGATAAATTTTTTTATCATATAAAACAAAATAAACTATCTGCAACGCGTAAACGCGTAATGGCTCAAACTTACTTTACCACACATGATCGGCTGAGGCGAGAGTTTAAAGAGTTTAACACCAATTCTTTTTTTTTGTATTCCCTCCTCCTCTTTCTATCATTGAATACGAGGTGGCTTAAGAACACTATTAGGATGTTTCCACCTCATGTTACTATCAAATCAATATCATTAAAAAAATTCAATCAGGTACCACAGAAACTTTGAGAATAATCTTGTATCACATTTACATAAAGAACTTGATCACTATAATAAATTGATTAATTATATAATAGATTTTTTCTTTTCTAAAATACTGCATTTCCAAACTTTTCTCTCAAATAAAATGCTATAATTATTTTTCTTTCATTTTATGAATTAAATATAGACTACATAGCAAATTTTTATTTTTATATCACTGGAAGCTAGATTAGACTAAATTGATTTTCTTTCTTAATTAAGATCTTTTTAATGATGTTAAAATTTTTTATCAAAATACAAAATAAAAAAACTTTTAATCTTTTTGCAGCAATATGTAAATGTGTTCAACCATCTCCACTGTAAAGTATATTTTTTTTCTTTTTGACTACGTGGTACATGATAAAACATGTAATATTATTTTGAATTTTGAGCTATATTGTTTATAAAGTTTGTTGTTTTTAGCTAGAAAGAAAATTTAAGAATGTAAGAATTAGTTATAAAAAAAGTGACTACTCCTTCTTCCCCAACTTAAACCGATATCACTTTGTCATATATTACAAAGAAGCAGGAAATTCTCTGATTCTTAAATGAATTACTAATTAAAGGAAATGATAAATTTAATTTTGCTAAGATGAAAAGATAATGTTTGACAACATTCTTCAAATAGTATATACACAAAGATTCCAAATTAAAATTACGTCCAGATATGAAAAAAAGTAAAAATATAATAGGTGTACAAAATTATCTCTAAATACCTAAAATTAGAATACAACTTGTATCAATATCTTGATATAAATATTAATATTGATTAGTGTTCCGAAAGGGTCGGTTTTTCAAACTCGACTCGAATGTAAAAGTAATGACCCGGATTCGACTTGACCTGATTATAGTCTGACTCGGATAACCCGGGTTCGACGTCAAGTTGTATTTAACATAAAAAAATTTAAATTTTTAGCTAAAATATAATAAAAAGATTCGAGTCGCCAGGTCAAAGTAAAGGTATAACCCATTAACCCGACTCAACAGGTCAGGTCGAGTTCATACATGCGGGCTACGGGTCATCAAATTCATGTGACCCAACCCGATCCCTAAATACGAGTCGACCCTTTCGGAACACTAATTTTTGATTATATTTAACTTTCTTTCAAAATTTCTACATTAATTATATTGAAATAACTGTGTAAAGCTTCTAAAAAAATGTTAAAAATCTTGAATACGAGAAAGTCTAACAAGTCTAAATGTACCGTTATATTAATTTTATAGGATGATTTATGCCGTCAACTCTCTATAAATGCAACCATCTGTAAAAAAAAGTCGATCCGTTTTTTATATTCCATCTTTTTTCGAATTATTTACATTTTTCGTAAATAGATCCGTAAAAAGCTCATTATTATGGAATATAACGGATAGAATTTTTATGGGATCCTCTCCCTATAAAAAATCTTTCAGAGAAATGATCACGTGTCTGAATTTCTTCGAAATGAAAACTAGAAAAATGATCATTTATCAGAGTTTTTTCCAGAATTTTTTTTATAGGGTCTTGGGACCATATATATAGTTTTGTAATAGTTCATTTAGAGAGGGTGTGCATTTATGGAGAGTTGACTGTAATTTGAAAATTGAGGCTTAGTTATAAATGACTTTCATTAATTTTAGTAGAATTAATTTTTTGTGAATGTGATTACCTATTTAATTAAATCTTTCTCGCTCAATATGTGTAAACATATATTATTAGCTTGTTTCTTTCTCTTTAATTGTAATGTATTGTTATTTATTTATGTGCTGAAAATTCATACACGTATGATTTCTTACAAGTCTGTATGTATTTTTACATGCTATAGATTAAAAACCATACAGTGCATACATAAAAAACCATACCATACAGGTTTAAGTAACACGCTAACACCTTATATAAAATAAGGGAGATATTTTCCTGAACTGCTAGGTCAATTTTGATATTTTTTTTTTACGAAAAATTAAATATTTGTCTTGGACAGCGAATTTTTTATGTTGATCATCTGAACAAAAAAAAAAATTTTGTTAATTTCATTAACTGTTAAATGTACATACATTGTATTAACAGCTAAATTATTAAAAACGCTGAACGCTAATAAAAAATTATGTTTTGGTTGGTTACGGAGAACAGCGAACATACAGCATGCACCACGTTAATCCATCTATTTTTGCGTGCCAGCCGTAGCTTTTAATGACTAATTAGTCTAATAAGACAAAATTTTTTCAATGAATTACTTTCACCGTAATTTTACATCAAATATGAAAAATTTTTAATTGCTTTCATGACCTTACTATATTCGAAAAAAAAAACAAAGTAAAAATTTTAAAATAATAAATTATGTACGTTTTTATCATATGTTTTTGTTATTTTGATCACAATTGCATCTTTTTATATATTCATGACAAAAGCACATTCATTATTCTTTCATTAGACTAGATTAAATAAATATATGAAACGTCCTTTCATTATAGAATCGCTGTAAACAAAGAAACCAAATATTCTGCGGCAGGTGACACAAAATGTCCGTGCATTTCGGACTTAATAACGGGTTTCCGATTCCTAGTAAATTTAACGAAAAATTTTGAAAATTTGATCTTTTTGTACCAAATTATTTTTTTGGTTATTCAAAAATGAAAATTTACAAATCTAATTGTTCAAAGATTATGTCACATATGTCACATAAAAAAAAACTATACAATTTTATAAATTTGGAAATTTATTGATTGAAAGAAAGAACTTTTGTTGAAAAGTCATTATACGTTCCTTGTGTCAACTTTCATTATTTATCTATTTTAAGCTTTTCTATAAAGAACTGTGAAAGAACCTCTTCATGTCGATTATAATCAACAACAATCGCTTATGTCATTGAATCATGTTAAACATTGTGATTTTATCCGAAAAATAATAATAATGGGAAATCTAATACTACATTCATGTATGAATGAAAAAAGATTTGAACAAAAAAAAAAAAAAAAAAAAAAAAAAAAGTCAAAAGATTGATGATACCAAGATATGTAATTGGTGATATTAAGACAAAAAAAAATGATAATTTTATAGTAATTTTATGAAAAAACAAATATATACAAAGCCCAAATAATAGGGGTTATAAGTTCACATAAATGTAAAAAAATTGAAAGTATAATCTGTCACTCGTTCCACAATTATTTTAATAATGAATATATTGCGGCTTAAAGTAGACATATAATACAATGAATGGTTATCAATTTGATATATATATTATCAATAACACTATGTTCCAGTCATTATAATGCAAGAAATCACATTATAATGTAAGAAATCATTTAAAACACCTTCCAAATTTTTTATTGCTCATATTTTACGTATATACAGGTTTAATAGAACCAGTTACGTAATTGTACATAAAAAATACTGAAACTCGGATTTCATCATCAAAGAATTAAGAAAAGTAGATAATTACTCCGCAATCACCATCAATTTTTTTTTATTTCATAAGCATAATCGGAATTAAATTCCAAAACTTACGAAACTTAAAAGTGTATAAAGTGTATATAAATATTCCTTCCATTTTACTTAAACAGCCTTCTTTTTTTAAAAAAAAATCATCGCAATATGAATACCAACGAAATTCCACTCATCAACGTACCTTATCCACCAGAATTGACTGTCGAAGATATCTTAAGTCGAAGATCCGAGGAGAAACTACGGTTAAGAGCTCCAAATCAGTTTTTCATTTATAGATTGGCGTACATAAGAGAGCTCAAGAAAATAATCGGAGAAAGTATCTCTATGACCAGAATTTCACCCCAAATAAGTTCGTCTTGGTCCAGAGAGCCTCCTGAAGTAAAGCAAGCTTATAAAAATCTCTCTGGTCTGACAGAAAATCGGTTGAAGGAAATGAGAAAAAATGATACTCCAATATTTATTCACGAAAACTTTTCCTCTCCACCACCACCACCTAGTCAACCTGATGAAAATATCATAATTTATGATGTACCATTTTATCCTTATTCGGACTATTTTTGCGATGATTATTTCTATGATTATTACAATAATTGTTATTATTCCTGTTAGCATTTTTTTTCGACGTTTTTATATCCTTATTTCGACTATGATCACTTATTTACGTGTGCTTCAATTTGGTATAATTGATGATCCAGGATCCGATTATTACGATAATTACCTTTTCTTTAAGATGTTATTTTAAATTAAATCTTCTTTTACCACTTATTAGCTACCTTTTTATTATTTTTATCATTTTTTTATTCAGAGTTAATAACCAAGTCTCTTTAAATTTCTATTATTATTTATATAACTATGCTTAAATTACTCTTTTTTTAAAATAATAATAACAATATATATATATATATATTATATTAAGATATATTCACAGCGTTCCTTTTAAGAATAAGAGATTTATTGTATAAATCAAAAATAAAATATAATTTACGTCAACTATGCATATTTATTTATTAAGTGATTTTAAATTTTCTTATGTATAATCAAATAACGCGTAACGCGATTTTCCAGTCAACTGCGGGCTATATTGTCATGACGACTTTTTTTTCCTATGATCATGTGGATCTCATGTGTAAGTATGTAAAAGATTTGTTATTTTCACATACAAAGTAAGTTTATAAAGTATATTGTACTTTAGGAAGAAAATTGTAAGAACTAGGCCTTCCTTCCTTCCTTCAACAGATCAAACTTATCGGTTTTGTCAAATATTATGAATGAAATAGAAATAATTTTGAAATAGAAATAATTTGAAGAAATGTCTTTTTTCGAAGAAGTGAAAACCAATAGAACTTGAATATCGAAAATGAGAGAATGCGAATATTTAATTCATCAGTTATTGAAAATTGTACAAAAGAAAACAAAGTCGCACTTAATGTGACTCATGATTACCTTTATACTAATTTCTATAATTCTACATACTTCATATTGGTGGTGGTTTTGAATTAGTGATCTTCGAAAGACTACATTTGCGAAACTCAAATTATTAAAAGCATAAAAAACCCATTTCGCTGACAAGAACCACATTTACTCACCATATAATAATTATTATGTTTGCAATAATATGAATATTTTTGTATTGAAATTATTGTGAAGCACGCGGTTGATTTTTCACTTTAGGTAAAGTTATTAGCAGTTGTGAAATTACTTAGATATTGATTTGCTTTAATATTTATGGAGTAATTAGCATTTTTTACAATAGTGTATTTAACTCTAAATATTATTCAAGTTATTTATTGTAAAAATAATAAAATTATTAATATATTAGGGAAAAAAGTCAAAACTGATATTTTTCTTTTAAGATAAACGGTATAATACATGTGTGAAACAATATTGCGACCATTGCGTCAATTAAAATTCAGACGCCCACAAAATCACGTGGGAGTGAAAATTTTTTTGTGGTGATACTGGAAATGTCATTAAGCCAATCAATGATCATCTATAATGACAAAGTTTTAAAATTTTATTTTCGTAATGTTGTAATAATTGATTTAGAATTTAATATTCGACGGATAGATATCTAAAGTGTAATTTGTGTATAGCAAATCTATTGATATATATAAATTTTAAGACTAAAACATCAATTTCGCAAAAAATATTTATTCCAAAATTTTTTGTTTCAAACACTTATTTGTAACTTTAAATTACAATTTTACTGAAAATTCAAACGGATAACGGATTCCCTACTGTAGATCCCATGACAAAATATTATATCAATATTACCAAAAAAAAAAAAACATCATATTTATTGAATTTTAGATTAAAAGAAATATAGTCAAATTATCAAGATGTAGTCTGCGCCTTTGTTTATATTTGTGTAACAAAAAATAAATTCGTTAATATGTACGGTTTCGACTACTGTACCAACTTGGTTTTTAACATTCTAATAATTATCATTTTATGCTTAATTTCCGGATTACACAATTCTAATCTTTGTGGAACATTCATCGTCAAAAAATTTAAAAAAATGGCGAAATCGCAAATTGTAAATTCTACAATGCAGTTATTAATATAATCAATCATACCCTTGTTTTCTTCTAATAAATAAACAATAAAAAAAAAAAATTTTTGGCACCATTTTCTAAAAAAAAATAATAACAGATCTCTTTATACTTACAAAACTTATGCAACAAAAAATTAAATATTATGTTTTGCAAAATCTTTGTATGGTACAATCATTCTTCTTAACTCTTTCTACATTGTTTATGGAATCTATTGCAATTAGACAAATGGTGGAATATTTAATAAGGTAAAAATAAATACAATTTTAATTTTGATCACGTGAACTATTTTACGCATTTTACTTGGTCAAAAAACTGTTAAAAACAAGCGACACTTTATATCACCTTGCCGATCATATGTCCGTCACGGCGTCACGTTACTCACGCATAAAAAAATGATGGAATAACTTGGTAAAATATTGGTAAAAATATTACAAAAATCCTATTTAAACATATTATTATTATTATAACAAAATATATTAAAATTACATCAATAAAAGTAAGTATATTATATACATGTGATGATATGGGGTCATCGGATAAAATTGATAGGCGAAAGTGAATACGCATGGGCGAAACTTGAAACTTTGCATAAATATTCCCTGTATTATATACAATCTATTGTAAAAATAATACAGTAATTCGTTCCATAATACAGGTTTTTAATTATCGGAGAATTTAATTAATAAGTTGCACCATAAAATTAATAAACAATTTAATATACAAATTGTGCTACAAAATTACGAAATTTAATAAATTTTTGCTGCGAAATCGGTTTTTGCAAAAAAATAAATATTGTTAGATGTCAGTTCTTATAAGCTTAAAAATAAGCTATACATTAAAAAATGTTTATATTTAATAAAGCAGAAGGTAATTTTAAAGATCAACGTATATGTTAAAATCAATCCAATCAGATGTGAATAGAGTATCGCTTCACACTGGCGCATACAATCAGACACAAATAAGGGAAAGCAGATTAACCATATAAAACTAAACTTAAAATTAAGGTGTATATTAAAGGGTAAACATTTTATTTATTAAATTCTTCACACATGTTCCTATTTTGAATTTAGGTCTAATTACAGGTCTATACTGTATATACATAAATTTCCAAACTAAAAATGTTTAACATATGCTACATATGCTATATATCCTATATATGCTATATGTTCTATATATTCCATATATACTACATGTTCTATATATTCTATATATTCTACATATCGGACATATGCAACATATCGAACATGTCAAACATATTCGACATTTGCTACATTGATCGGCATCACGGGTCCAGTTATATCACATGATTGCTGCGCAACATTTTACTGCGTAACAATATCACATTTTTTTGGAATAAACGTTATAAACGTCAATAAATGATCGGCAAAATGATCGGCAAATTCATGATGATATAGAGATGTCCGCCCTGTTTATGACTCCGAACTCCAGATTCAAACTTTTATTTTTCTGAGCAAAAAAATTGTTAAATCTGACAAGACTCATACATTCAGGAGCACCAGCATGAGTCCCATGTTGATTCGAGTGAACAGAAGTATAAATTATGGATCTCTACTTTAGATAAAACTATAATTATAAAAGATAAGGAAATTGGCAAATTATCCTCTTCACTTTCTCAATCTACCTTTTAGAATATAGGTAAAAATAAATATTTTGAACAGTTAGGTCAATTTTTGATATTTTTTTTATAAAAAATTAAATATCTTAATTCAGCAGACCGCTGTCGAAAAAAAAAATCACTTAATGTACATTCATGCACCTGCTTGGTTGCGGAAAGTAGCGACACGCATAAGCATCATTTGAGTAGCTATAAATGGTATAAATGATAATCATTTTATATTTTTTCAAATACGCGCGTCGGCTGTAACGTTAAAATCATGTTGACTAATTACTTTCAACCTATACTTTATTGCATCAATATGAAAAAAAATTCAAATTGTTCTTTAAAACATACCATATTTGTAAAAAATTATAAAGTAAAGTTTTAGAATGATTTAAATCTTAAATTGTCATTATAAATATAATTGTTTCTTATTGTGGTTAAAATACACTTATTATTCATTCATTAGGCCATTAGGCTAAATGGAATATCAAAAATCGCTAGTAAATTATAATGCAAATTCGATTCTTTACTTATTTTCCTGGTTATTCAAAGTAAAATTTCCAAATATAGTTATTCAAAGAAAGATGAAAAACATGTAATTAATTAAATTTGATGCGTTATAATAAAAATGTGTCACCGATGCAGCTTTGTAAATAAACTAAAGATCATGAAAAATGATATACTTTGATTGAAAGAAAGAACCAACTCTTATGAAAATTATTTTACGTACCTTGTGTCATTTTGCATTATATAATTAATTTAACCATTTTAAGATTCTAGAAAGAACCGAAGGTAACACGGGTAAGAATAAGTGATCTTCGGAACTTTGTAATTTTATTTGAAAATTCACAACTTTGAATAAAAATTTTGATTGGTTGATCAAAAACGAAATTTAAACTACACCAAATAAAAAATATCGTAATGCATTTGATGAAAGTCAAAGATATTGATGATAGCAAGATATGCGATACTTTTGGGACATTTTATAAAAAACCAAATATATACAAAGCCCAAATAATGGGGTTAAAAAGTTCACATAAATATTACAAAATTAAAAGTGTAATCTGTCATTCGTTCCACAATTTATTTTAATTTAATAAAGTAATGGAATAGCGCGTCTTCTTAAAAAGTTCAGATGAGATAGACATATAAAATACTGAATGATATCAAAATCAATTGATTATAAGCTTTTCGTTAAAATGGCGTATATTATCAATGGGTTATTACAATGCAGAAATATCATTTTACATCACCTCTTAAATTGTTTATTTCTTATCTACGTGTAAATCGGTTCAATATACAGTATTATAGTATAATAGAACCATTTATCTCCTATTCATTTTTTTTACATCATAAGCATAATCGGAATTTAATTCCGAAACTTAAAAGTGTATATAAATATTCCTTCCATCATGCTTAAATTACCCTCGTTTTTTTGTAAAAAAAAATCATCACTATAATATTTAAATATGACCGCTAACGAAATTCCACTCATCAACGTACCTTATCCACCGGAATTGACTGTCGAAGAGATTTTAAGCCGTAGATCCGAGGATAAACTACGATCGAAAGCTCCAAATCAGTTTTTAATTTATAGGTTAGCGTACATAAAAGAACTCAGAAAAATGATCGGTGAAAACATCTCTATGACCAAAATATCGCGCCAGATAAGTTCTTCTTGGGCTAGAGAACCTCCTGAGATAAAGCAAGCTTATAAAAATCTCTCTGGCCTAGCAGAAAATCGGTTGAAGGAAATAAGACAAAATAATTCATTAGTAATTATACATGAAAATTTTTCCTCACCACTACCACCACCAATCAATAATAATATAATTGATGAGCCGACCTTCTTCTATCCTTATTCCGAATATTATTATAATAATTATTATTATTTTTATTAATTATGTTTCCTTTTTTCAATTCGATTATTATCATAACTTTTATTTAAATTTTTTCGTCTGCCGTTTTAGTAAATAAACATTTTTTACCTTTTTCATTTATTCGATATCGTTGATGAGCTGGAATTCCTTATTCTTTTTTCGACAAATATGCAATTATTCCGTTTTAATATTTTACTTTTTCGTTATTATTGATGAGTTGGATTTCTTTCGATTAATATCCCTGTTTCGCTTATTTGATGATATTAGACATTCCTTTCTTTTCTTTCGATTAATATCCCGGTTTAATATTTAATATTATAGTATCCCGGCCTAATACTCTTCTTTTTTCGCCTATTTGATAATATTAGTCATTCCTTTCTTTTCTTTCGACTAATACCCCGGTTTTATATTTAACTTTTTTTCGTAACTAAACTTTTATGCACTAAGTTTAAATAAGATTAAGTTCAAATTATTAGTTTTTTTTTTCAAAGTACAAAAAAATATATATATATACATACAGCATACAATTTTTTTTTCGTTTTTTTACATACGTTTTCGACTTTTTTCGTTACCGAAATTTACAGTTAAAATTCATAAACAAATTTTGTGATCAATAATTACTTTTATGAACAATTAAGAATCCAAATAAAAAAAAAAGCAAAATAAAATGATAAAATAATTTAAGTTTACTAAATACTATTATCTATTTGTTATGTGTATTCAGTGATAGGAAATAACTTCAAATTTTCTTAAGTCATAAATCAAAAAAAAAAAAATTACTGTACTTACTATATTGAATATAAATATTTGAGAAGTTTCAGAAGTTGCAAGTTTTCTGCAGGATGTACAAATATAATTGAGATCTATTGTGGTGAGCGTTAAATCAAGGTGACAAATCAGATTTTGATAAGATCTACATTTCTGTATTACCAAAATTCTCTTTTTTTAGAAAATATGTGATGTCAAAATTTTTGATTACAATTTCCTTTTATAGTAATAAAATTTAAATTGTAATACTGTAGTTCTTTCCTTTTATAAAATCGATCGAATTCACAATTTTCGGAATTTCAACACCGCCACGTATAGCACACCGTAATCAGTGGTCAGAGTCCAACGTGATTAAAACGTGACTACTGCGGTCACACTTTTTTTATTTGCTGTTATTTTTTATTTTATCACATGTCTGGGATGTGTTAATGGAAATAAATAGAACGATAAGGAATTGGCGGGAACAAACTTCATAAATTATTCATTGTATCAGTTAATTTTTACATTTAAAAGATCAAAGCCTAAACAATTATTTCATCAACATCTATATACGGCCATACTCCTTTCTTCTATATATATGTCGTACCTTCGTACCAGACCCCAAAAATAAGGTAACTCGAAATTATTATCAGATTTATGAATTTTCGGGTGTACTGTATAAAATATTTATAAATCACGTGATACCGGATCCCGCGTTTTTGCTGTTTATATTATCTGAGGGACTTTAAACTTTTTTATTGCCTTCCCAAAATTATTTTTTCACATCCCCTTAAATGTCACCGGTCACGTGGGATACAATTTTGAGTTTCAACGGTAAATTAAATCACTTCGTACCAAATAACTAAAGTCTTTATTTTGATTAGTTTAATGAAATTCGTATATTTTCACATCTTTTAAAATAAATGTTAATTTATATTTATGTATTTTTTTTTTTTTTTTTGATTGTACAATATAAGAAATATGAGAACTTTTTAATGCTTAAACTAATTATAAGCACATACTAAAAAATTTCTGCAAAAAAAAAATTCCAAATTATTGCAGTAAGAGAAGATTCTCATGGAAAAGTATTATATCAATATTACCAAAATCATATTTATTTGATTATTTTATATGGGGGATAAGGTACTTAAAAATGAAATTACTAAATAGTCCGAATCCACTGTGCTTAAAATATAAAAAATACCTTCCTATAAGCTCGAATTTAGAATTATTTTTAATTTTCAAAAAATACTTAATTGGTAAATGTACATATAATCAATAATTATATATTTATATTTATAGACGTGATAGTGTCGATCTTATCCGGGTTAGTAATTAAAGTCTCCAATACTAATTTTCGCCCCAGTTCCTATTGGATCCGACATGGAATTAGCTCGGATTCCATATATTGACGGCAGAAGACATGGGACCGGATGATTATAAATGATTACAAATGATTACAAATCAAAAAATTCCAGTTGTTGGTCAATCGGACTCAGTTCATCAGCCAGAATCAAACGCGAAAATTAGTATAGACTTTATAATACAATTTTGATCACGTGACAAAACCTTAATTTCGGCAGTTTCCGTTTCAATAATGACTAATAAGTTTAATAAGTTAATAGGGCGGCAATTTTTAATACTTTCAACCTATACTTTATTGAATCAATGTAAAAAATTTAAATTGTTCAAAACCTTCTATATTCGTAAAAAAAATTATAAATCATAAATTATATAATTATTAATTGTTATTGTAATTATAATTGTATCTTATTATGGTAAAAATTCATTCATTATTCATTTTCATTAGGCTGAAATGAATATATTAAGAAAATAATCTTTTTTGTCAACAATCAATAATGAAAAATTTCAAAATTCGTTTCTCCGCGCCAATTGTTTTCCTGGTAATTCAAAGTAAAAAATTTCCAAGTCTAATTGTTCAAAGAGAGATGTAAAATTTAAAGATTATTTTATATGAAAACTATATAATTATATATATTACACATATCCTATTATGATAATGAAGAGGAAATATTTCACGTATATTGTGTCATCTTGCATTATTTAATTATTAACCATTTTAAGTTTCTCTTGAAAGGGTCTCTCCACAATAATCATGTCGACATTGTTCATGCGAACTACTGCAATTTTATCCGAAAAATAATAATGAGATGGTATGGTACAAATTTCAACAGGTCTGTCATATGAATAAATTTTGATTGGTTGATCGGAAAACAAGGTTTGAACTACGCCAATGCAAATAAAAAAATATGATTCATATGATAAAATAGTAAAAGTAAAAAAAAATAAAGTCGAAGATATTGATGATAACAAGATATGTGATATTATTATAACAAAAACAATAATTTATAAGAAACCAAATATATACAAAGCCCAAATAATGGGGTTAAAGTTCACATAAATATCATAAATTGAAAGTGTAATCCGTTACTCGTTCCACAATTTATTTTAATTTAGTAAATTATACGACTTAAAAAGTTCAATAAAAATTATTGATAACATTCCATTCGATTGTTACAGTGCAGAATGTGATTTATAAAATTACACCATTGCTTATTTTTTATCTACGTGTAAACCGGTTTAATATACTAGTATTATAGTGTAATAGAACCATTTATCTTTTATGTGATAAATTTTTGATGATTCAGTATTTTTATGTACAGTAAAATTAAAGTACGCAATTACTCAGTCACCATCACTATCGGTTATCAATTTATCAATTCATTTTTTTTTATATCATAAGCATGGTCGGAATTTAATTCCGAAACTTAAAAATGTATATAATTGACCCTTCCATCATGCTCAAACAACCCTTATTTTTTTGTAAAAAAAAATCACTATAATTTTTAAATATGAACGCTAACGAAATTCCACTCATCAATGTGCCTTATCCACCGGAATTAACGGTCGAAGAAATCTTAAGCCGTAGATCTGAGGAGAAACTACGGTTAAGAGCACCCAATCAGTTTTTCATTTATAGATTGGCGTACATAAAAGAACTCAGAAAAATAATCGGTGAAAACATCTCTATGACCAAAATTTCTCCCCAAATAAGTTCTTCTTGGGCTAGAGAACCTCCTGAGATAAAGCAAGCTTATAAAAATCTTTCTGACCTAGCAGAAAATCGGTTGAAGGAAATAAGACAAAATAATTCATTAGTAATTATATACGATAATAATTCCTCCCAACCACCACCACCTCCTAGTACTAATAATGATATAGTTGATGAATCGAATTTCTTTTATCCTTGTTACTATTACTTCGATTACTATTACGATTATTATTATTACTATGATCATTACAATGATTGTTATTATTTTTATTAAACTGCTTCGACTATTATAAACTATTATCCCAACTTTTTTTTATTTATTTGATATCGATGACGAGCTAGTATTCCTTATCTTATTTTTTTACTTTTATTAAAATTTTTTTAATCGTTTTAATATTTTTACCTATATCGTAACTGACATCCCGTATATGCATTTAATATAAACAAGATTTATTAGCTTTTTATAAGTGCAAAATATATACTGTATACAGTATATACAGCATACAAATTATACAAATATTTCTTCTACGTTTTTCGCCATTTGATCACAAATAAGATATGAATTTTAACTGTAAATTTTGATTTAAAATAAGCACTTTTAAGAATAATTAAGAATCTAAATAAAACAAGTAAAACAAAACGTTAAAGTAATTTAAGTTTACTCAAATACCCTTTTCTATTTGTTATATTTGTTATTTAATTAATTGTATATTCGGTTATTACTAATTAAGTAGGAAATGACTTTAAAATTTCCTATAGTATAACACTAAAGAATAATGAGTGGAGTCTGCATGTTACAAGCTCAATTTTATTAACCTTGGAGCCAAGGATAAATGAGAAAGGAAGAATGTAGAAAGATAAAGAAGGCGAGAATACAGAAAATGTAGAAAAAGTAAATACGTCGTCTTCAGAAAGAGAGCTTATGGAAATCAATTTGAACGATGAGAAAGTGTCGGAAGAATTCACAGTTAATAAATGTAGGAAAGGTTTGATTGATGACCGTCAAGTCAGTTTCTATCTCTATAATGCTGCCGTCTTCGCAAAATACATCAGCAAAGTATGCGATTAAAAAATTTAAAGATCATTAAAAAAGTACGTTATTGATTATCTGTTATAGTCTCATTTTCGATATCGTATTTATATAATTATTAATTCTCAAAAAATTTTATCCGTTATTTCTGTAAAAACTTCGTAAAAATGAATAAAATGAACCCTTCACGGATCAATTCACGGAAAATATAAATAATTCGATAAATACTGTGGTATAAGGTAATTAATTCCAGAATTATGAGCCTTTTACGGAAAAAAAGATGGAATATAAAAAACGGATTGACTTTTTTTTGTGTAGGGTACTATATATAAAGGAATATACGACGCCTAAACTAGTAGAAAAAATTATTAAAGACATGCGCAAGGAAAGTCAAGCATCGAAAAGTACGTCTTTGGAACAGCGGGTCTCGGATAACAGTAGCTTGATCGTTGACAACTACAAATCTTGAGAAACATGTATCAGAAACGAACCGTCAAAAGAAGAGATCACCGGAAGAAATTAAGAGATTCAACGAACTTAATACAAAGTACCAAAACATATACAGGGATTTGATAGCGTAAGAAAGTCAAACAAAGGAGGTTATATCAGTGTTGGCACTTGGCCGTTTGGCCGGGGTTGGCCATTTGGCCGTTTGGCCAGTTTGGCCGGCCAAACTGGCCAAAAAAACCTTTGGCCGCGGCCAAATGCCAATACAGCCTTAATTAAGTATTAGTATTTTGTTATTTGGCCAAAATTTGGCCATTTTGCCCGGTCAAACTGGCCAAAAAAAATCTTGGCCGCGGCCAAATGCCAACACTGAATTATATACTAAGGATTGTTTTTGATAACATATAGCTATGACAATTAAAACTCGCAATAGTATATAGCTTTAAACCATTTATTTGGTTTAATTCTGTTTCTATATGATCATGTATTATTTTATAATAATTATTCGATAAGAAACGCGTTTAATAATAAAAAATTTTCTTATGGTCTAAATCAAAAAAAAAAAAAAAATGCTGTGCTTATACTGAATAGCTTGTATTCATAATGAAAATAAGTTAATACCGTCTCTTATTTTGCTGCGTTGAGCGACCTGGTCATGTGAAAATATCTTGGTCATGTGATGCCATTTTTTTTTTTTCAATATTCATTTTTTTTCTTGGGCAAAAATTTGTCAATCTTCTAAAATCAGCCAAATAATGAATTTTCCGGTTTCTTGGGTCAATTTTTTGATTTTTTTTTTTTTTTTACTAAAAATTAATACTTCATTTATTAGACTCCGAATTTTTTATGTTGCTCATGGTATGTGCGTTTCAATAGTTTCATGCACAATTTTTTTGTGCGAGCGGGAATTCCAAATTTGTGATTGGGGAATGATAATCCGAAATTAATTATCTATAATTGGTTTTTTTGAAAATCGATTTCATGTGCTTTCAACATGATACTTGCATGATTTGATAAAATATAATAACTTATATGAAAAATAAGAAGGGAATTATTATAGTAATATTATTCTTAATTTACATTTTTTGAAAGGCTTTAAAAATATTTCTTTAAGACCTTTAAAACCTATATTTGTAAATATAATAAAGAAAAAAATAAAACCCCCAAACAGAACAAACGTGATAATTTTCGTTGTTATTTGTATAATCATACATCGTATAGTTTCATTATATTAATTACTTATTATTACGGATAAATCATTTATCATTCATTTCTTTGTATTTATATAAGATACAATTTGTTTTATCAATTTAAAATCACCAGTACACTGACAACAAAAAATTTGAAAATTTGATCCTTTGCGCAAAACTGTTTTCCTGATCCAAAGTGAACAATTTTCAAGTTTAATTATATAAAAAATTAATATATAATTTTAATATTGTTGACAAATTAGATTTCTGCGCTAATGCGTTTTCGAACATGAAATAATAATATATTTGGAAATTTCTGATTGAAGGATCGGCTAAGATTAATTTTTAAGGAAAAGAAAACATTTAAAACATTTTACGCATCTTGCATCATCCAATATTATTTACACATTATTTAAATATTATTTAAATATTTATTATTTTAAGAACCGACCTTATAACGGTAATTAGCGTTAATTCGATCGGCAGTGCCACCCATTTGAAAATATTAATTTTCAGAAAAATGATCACGTGTCTGAGTTTCATCGGAATAAAAACTTCATTTATCAGAGTTATTTTTTATAGGGCTGATGCAAATAAGCCTAGTAATCCCTTTTCATTAATAATTTAGTTGTTATATAAAATAAGATTGGTTGATCGAAATTAAGATAGAAATGCGTCAATTAAAATGTATTAATGAAACAGCATTAAACAAAGGAGATTATGATAGTATTATCCTTAATCTACACTTTATTGTATATATATGAAAGACTTTAAATTATTCCTCAAAACCTTTAAAACCCTATATTCGCAAAAAAAACAAAGCGAAAATATCCTGAATGTTCGTAAAGAGAACAAGCGTCATAAATTATAATGATTTCATTATTAATTATTCATATTTGTATAGTAATATATCGTATATTTTTATTATATTCATATATTATTACGAATAATTCATTTATTTGTATTATATGAAACAATTTATTATATCAATTCAAGATCGCTACTAGTACACTGGCAACGAAAATTTTGAAAATTGGTTCCTTTGCGCAAAAATTATTTTCTTGATTCAAAATGAAAATTTTCAAGTTTAATTATATAAAAAATGTAATATATAATTTGGAATATTTATTTACTTATTAAATTTAGTGCTAATGCGTTGAAAGTCATGTTACATAAAATAAAAATATATTTGGAAGTAAATGATTGAAGGATCTTCCTAAGATTAGCGCATCTTGCATCTTCCAATATTATTTAAATATTATTTGATAACCATTTTAAGAACCGAGTAGAACCACCTTCGCTTTGAAGCGAAAATAATTATCGGCAACTATTGTATGCGTTAATTCGATTGGTTAACGAAAAATAAATAATAAATGATGTAAATAAGTCTAGTAAGTCCTTCACATCAATAAGAACTGTGTTAATGAAACAGCATTAGTAAAAAAAAATAAAGTGAAAGATATTCCGATAACTGTACATGTGCTACCAATTGTAACTATGAATATTAACCCTTTGAAATAATACCATATTATGAAATTAAAAGTGTAACGTTTAAATTTTGAATAGTCACATCTTAAAATCATCCCTTGATATATTTCATTAAAATTAAAAAGGTATATACTGTATAATTATAATTAACAGTTATATTATTAAATCTCTTGTTATTATTATTTATTAATCTCGCTAAAAATAAGTGATATAAGTTTTATTATTTTTTATATAATAAACCGTTTAAACAGGTGAAAAATGATAAATTTACAAATTCACAACTTTATGAATGACACCGTTAAACGGAAAAATAGATTGATATTCAGATAATCTTTAATCTTTAATCTTTCATCTCCCTCTAATTCTGGTTTAGCTTTATTAAAAAAAGTTTTAAATGGTTAACTGATTTAATTAATTCATTTTATATACAAGATATTTAAAAAATTGTTGGTGTAATGAATAATATAATATGTGACTTGAGAATTGTGCAACAAAAAATTTGTCACATAAACCATCCATTAATTTAGTAATTTTACATTTACATTATAAGCATAGTCGGAATCGGTTTCCGAAATATTTAAGAATGTATATAAATAATCATTCCCATCTTAACAGCCAAGAAAAAGTCATTCCTATAATTTTTTAAAAAATGAGTATCAACGAAATTCCACTCATCAACGTACCTTACCCCCCAGAATTGACGGTAGAAGAGATCTTAAGTCGTAGATCCGAGGAGAAACTGGGGTCAAAAGCTCCAAATAGATTTTTTATTTATAGGGTGGCGTATATAAAAGAACTTAGGAAAAGGATCAGTAACAATATTTCTATGACCAGAATATCGCCATATATAAGTTTATCTTGGTCAAAAGAGCCTTCTGAAGTAAAAGAAGCTTATAAAAGACTTTCTGAACTGGCAGAAAATAGGTTGAAGGAAATGAGACAAAGGGATACTACTCCAATATTTATTCATGAAAACTTTTCGCCCCCATCACCACCACCTAGTCAACCTAACAATGATATCATAACTAACAATAATATCATACCTAACGATAATATCATAGTTGATGAACCGTTATTCTTTTATACTTACTTCGACTATTATTACGATTATTATTACTATGATTATAACAATAATTGTTATTACTTCTATTAGCATTTTTCTATTATCCGTTTTAATAATTAAATCTTTTTTATCTTTTCGTCTACCATCACTATTTTATATCGAATATTATTCTCATTATTTATTACGATTATTATTATTTTTCGACTATTTATATTCCCATTATTTATAAGTATTTATTATGATTATTATTATTTTTACTATTATTTATTACGAATTACGATTATCATCCCATTATTTATTTCGATTATTATTCTATTATTCATTACGATTATTATTCCATTATTTATTTCGATTATTACTATTATTCCCGATTATTATTATTATTCCCATTATTTATTACGATCATGAGATGCGTTCCAAACTTATCGATTGGGAACGCTTATCGATTGGGAGTACGATCATTATTAATATTGCAATAATTAATATTATCATTAACATTTTTATTAGTCGTTTCAATAATTTAAGTTTTTTTTTTTTACTTTTACGAAGTTTTAACTATGCGTTTAATTAAGAAAAGGGATTTATTAAAGTATAAATGTATATAAATAAGAAAACTAAAGGCAATTATAAGAAAGAAACATATTTTTTAGGTAAAATTTTTAAGGAATTTATTACTCTAAGTCAAAGGCAAAATAAAACGAAAAAATTTATGGCTACTATTTCTTACATGAAATGTAATTTTATATATTGCGAAATACTATTTATTGAAAGAAATAGTATTAATATTGAGTGATCATACAATTAACTACGCATTTTTTCAGAGCTGGAATTACATAATTCCGTCTGATGTTATTAAAGATCCAATGAAGTGATTAGGTTGCTAAAAAATAAAATTCACTGTGTATAAAAAATAACGAAAATGAGGAGAACAATAAAATAATTTCTTTTAACTACGCCAAAGGATATTATTTCATTTTTAATTTTGTCTATATTTATCGGTTAAAGATTTTAAAATATCAATGCCTGAAAGAGTGCGACAAGCTAAGCCTCCTTGTTACATAGCACTTTTCAGTTTCCTTTAAAAATAAAGTTTTTAATAGATGTATCTTTAACTGATCTAGGAACTTACTTGGAGTTCGGAAGGACCGCCGAAGGAGATTTTAATACTTGTTTTTTGAACTCAGTATATTATATCGTCTTTGCCGATCATTTCCAGGGCGAAAAAAAGTTTTTATCAAGCAAGTAAATTGGTATTCATAACTGCCTTTGTCACACTAAGTAAACTTGCAGAGCAGCCAAAATTATATTTACTTAGACGGTATAATACATATTAAGAACATTTCTTCTTTTTGCGATTCTCTACTGTGCCACAATGAGAGGCTTAAAATGATCTTCCCCCAGCAAATTTTTCTTCCTATGTGGCGCAGTGTTCAGCAAATGACTTGAAATGACCAAATGATTCAAATGACAAATGACCTTGGTCATTTGAATGTAATTTTGGCAATTTTTGCCTACATTACATTCATTATTTTTTAATTATAGTCACATGATTATTTATGTGATAAATATTAGCCAATCAAAATCAAATGATTGAAATGACTAAATGATTATGAATAATTTCATAAATCATTTAAATGGTCAAATGACCAGGTCATTTCCGAACACTGATTGTGGCGCGATCAGCCTTATTAATTGATTTGTTTATTATTTACCGTTTACAACAAAATTCTCTCCTTTTTTCTCTTTCCATGTCGAAATAATTTTTTAAAAAAACTATGGAATATTGTTATACTGTATATGTAAGTGCTCTTTTCTCTAATAAATAAACGCGTTTCAAAATTGTGCTACCCCACCATAGATCATCTGATAAAATATTATTAGATTACAGGACGATTATCAGACAAAATCGGACAATATTCGTCCTGTAATTATTTATAATCATTCAGTGATCACAACGTACACAGAATTCTGAAAACTGCGACAATTTTAACATTTTAGTTAAATGAAACAAGTTTTAAAATATATTTTTTCAAATTTATAGTGTAATTTCAATACTTTAGTTAAATGAAATAGGTCTAGGAGGCTCAAGTAAGGTTCTTCAGCATATATGAGATTACTCAAATATTAATTTTTATCAAAATGCTTAAATATTCTCAAAGGTATGGATATTTTTATATAAAATTACTGTGCCGCGCGCAGCTGAATTTTTCACTTTATGGCGTAATTTTGATATCAGTTTCAATTTTTACTAATATTTTTTAAATAGTTATTTTTTATTGAGTAAATTTATGTCTAGTCCACATGTATGATGCTTAGATCTCGCTTTTATCCCATAAAAGGAAATTGTTTATGCCGATCAGTTAATTCTGGCCAGAGTTAAATACGTCACGTGATTAACAAAAAAAAAGTTTTGTCAAATAAGTCAAAAATGACATTCAAAACCATCTTTGATGCTATGCTTTAAGTAAACTTTCAGAGAAGATAAAATACATATAATGTATATCTTTTAAAAATGTTTGTATATTAAGAATTTCTTTTTTACAATTTTTTTTAGATTTATTAAAGCATCACACCGGGCGAGATACATATTTATCCTTTTTTATTAACATTTTTTTTTTTTAAGATACAATCAAAATTTAGACGACGTGAAGAAAATTTGTTAGTGATGAATTGTTGTTTTATGAAAAGTTCTTTGCTCATTATTGTTTTTGTCACGTCAGAATCAACCATCGCTATTGTTATGGTTGGATTTTTATAACCTTCGGCCTGTACTATGATTCCAAGATTTGTGATGTTAAATCCTCTATGGGTGATGTGCTTCTCCTTCGCACATCACTGTCATCCGACTGCTGTGTCATTAGAAGTGATAGTTAAACAATTTTCTGAATTTATAAAATTATTAAATATACATTGTCTAAATTATATGATAATGAAAAAATATAAAAATTGTTAGATACTCCTGGGGCCGAAACTTCTCAATAGCGACCTACTTGTTTTGATGGCTTACCCGGTTCGCACCTGGTGACCTCCTCGTCTACCCTTTTGACATCTGTCGGTCGGGGTTGGCGATTCATATTTCGTCGCATTTGGCCATCTTGTAAGTATCCTTGTTCGGCACATCTATCACAACATGATGTCCTTATTAGACATAAAGATGTTCTATTTAATCTGCTTACGATTCATCTTTCATTTTTGATCTCGCTCGGCGTATTAATAGCAACCTCTTATTTTTGATTCCTAAGACTGGCAACAACCTCACGTTATCTAATGATCATCCCTTGTTTCAAGCTATTTTACACTTATATCAGTAAAAAATCAACTCGTTCAAAACTTTTATTGTCCTTGTCAAAATTTCATCGACGATCTTAATACAATAATTTGGAAATCAAGTCAAAAAATGGGCCAAGGTATTACCAAGAAGAAAAAGAAATTATATTATCGCTTGAAGAACAACTATCTCATTCTCAAATCTCAATTAAAATGTAAAAATAAGTCAATCTGATGTCACAATTTTAAGCTAATCCGTTTGAACTCCAATCCCGTCATAACCAGGATTGGATGTGTCCAGTTATCATATTGAATAGAATTAGTTATTTAAACCAAAATTTCTTTTACCTTTTTTTCCCCAATATTAGAGAAATTTATTTATTTTAAACTAGTGGAAAAGAAAAGTGTAAAAATGATTTTTTTTTTGTTTATTTTTATTTATTTTTTATTACTGTAAAAAAACGATCTTTCATTTTTAAAGAAAAGTTTTAAGTATTACCGTCTACCGGACTAGGGATGAATAGAATCGAGATAACAAGTAAGAACGCTACTTTTGAAGCCAAAGTCTCACAATTTGCAACTATACTGTACGGAAAAAAAACTATACTGTATAGATTATACTATACAACATCGGAGGTTTTGAAAGAAATAGAAATTAACATTGATTTACAAGTGGTAAAATCTAAAAAAATACAAGTACTTTAGTAATAATAATTTGTCTTGTCCTCTTTATTCTTTAATTATTGAATAGTGATTTTATTACCACGTCATTTTCGTAATTGCAACACACGATTTCCGTATAATCATGATGGTCGAGGTCGATACTCTAATTTTTCGCATTAGTTTGTTCAATGTATAAAAAAAAAGAGAGATCAAATGACAAATTAAATACAAGAAAAACTATAAAAAAAAAGATTGTTTATTGGAGAATTTTATACTTTAATGTTTAACGATTGTTTTTATATGAATCCTTTTACAACAATATTCAAAAGTATAAGTTGATTAGATGAAAATTTATTATTTACTGTAGCATGTTTTCGATTTTTGTGTTTATTTTATTTATCACTAAAGTTAAATTTCAATTACTAGAAAATTTTTTGTAAACATTATTAGCGTTTGTTTCAAAGACATGATTTATTAATATTGTTATAACTGAAGCGTGAATTAAATATATTTTATCTCAATAATTATTATTAACAATAGGTGGATTTCTTTGACATACTATTTTATTACTATTATTGATTTATTATACTGTTTTATGCTTACTAAAGCTAAAATACTAAATACCATAATTACTTTTTAGTTAACGTCTACTAAAGCATTTTTCGATTCGCTTGAAGGATAACGCTTTTTACGTTTGATTGATTAAAATTCTTCATGCTTTTAATATACATTGGTGCATGAAGAATCTTTTTCAAAAAATTGTGATCAACGTGGAGTAACATATATTTGTAAGTATTTTACCCTTATCCTAAGACCCACTTTTCTCAAATTGACTCGAACTACTCAACATAAACATATTATAAATCATTTTAACATTGGAATAAAATAAATTTGATCAATTACAAACTGATTTTTATTATGTAAAAAAAAAAAGTTTACATACTAATTCTATAATCAGTGTTGAAAAAATTATATATAATATATAAAATATATAAATATCTTATTTATCAAAATATAAAATAATGAAAAATATATTATACTGAATTATTTCAGATTCATTGCCAATTTTGCATCGTGTGCTGTAATAATAATTCCTCTACTGCAATATTATCACTAAATTCGTTATTCTCCACATCCTGAATAAACAAGTCTTCTACTGCCATTTCATCACTGACTTTATTATTATCATTATCACTGACTTCATTATTAATATTCTTTGAAAGACCTGTTGTAAAAGAATTAAGCTCCCGAGCTTTATAAATAGCTTGAGGATGAGTAGTTGATTGCACATAATCTAACCTTCTACAGATTTCTGCTTCTTTAAATTGTTTTTCAATTTCGTAGTGACTTTCGTCTTGAAATTCATATTGTTGACTACATGAATCCTCAAATAGTGAAATTACTTCTTTAATTTCAGATATACTTGGTCTATTAGCTGGATTTGAATCCCAACATCTTTTCATCAATTCAATATAACATTTTGGTACTTCTGATTCATTAAATTCAGGTCTAATTCCATTACATATCTTCAATGCTAAATTCTCATCATGTGCACAATTGTCAAAAGGCTTTCTTCCACCAGTTGCTATAAAATACATAATCATACCAAGACTATATATATCTGATGCTTGAGTATAAGGATTTCCTTCTAATCTTTCAGGAGCTACATAAGGCATAACTCCAATAATTTTTGTTTCATCCATATTACCAGCATCTCCGCATAATCCCATATCTGAAATACATACATTGATTTCATCATGAAGCCTAAATAATATATTGCCTGTATGTAAATCACGATGAAACATATTTTTTTCATGAATTTCTTCAAGAGCATCAACAATGCCAGATAAGACTTCTATTCTACTATTCCAATCAAAATTTTCATAATTTTTAATTATCCAATTATTAAAATCTCCTTTTTTTGCATATCGAAGAATTAAAATATAATTTTTTGTATCTGGATTTTGAGATATTCCATATATTTGAAGAATATCAATATTAATACCTGAAGTTGAATATGCTTTAACCTATTTATTGAAAAAATTATATTAATAAAATATAATCATACTTTTAAAAAAAAACTGAATTTACCTCATTTAAAAATTTATCATTAATATCTTGTGAATTGAACAAACATTTTAAAGCAACTATTTCATTGGTTTGTCTTATCCATTCCTTTTTATCAAGATCATAACATAATGGACCATCTTTCCATGTTGCTGAATACACTTTAGAGAAACCACCTTTACCTATTTCTTTTAAATCGGTAAATTGATTGAATGGTATCCATTCAAATATCATATCATAACATGTGTCAATTTTTAATTGTATTTCTTGAATAAGATTATCAACTTTTCCATTTCCACTAGTCCAATTTGAAAAATTTGATTTTAAATAATTTATTTGACATGATTTACACCATTCACTAAATTTGTCAGTATATTCTTCACCACATTCTTCACAATATACATCTTGAAGAATCATTATATAATCTTTTGTATCTGGATTTTGAGATATTCCATATATTCCAATATGATCAGTAATTTTATATTGATCATTTTTCTCATTTTCTAAATACATCTTAACCTGTTTAAAGCAAAGAATAAACATTATTATTATATTAGAAAAAAAAAGTTCTAAAATTAATTTACAAGGAAATTCGTACCTCATTTAAAAATTCATCAATAATGTTTTGTGAATTATATAAAAATTTTAAAGCGACCTTATTGTAAGGGTTTCTCGACCATTTCTTTTCATAATTATCATAATATAATGGACCATCCTTCCATATTACTTTACATATTGTAATAGAATTGCCTTTGCTTATCTCTTTAATATATATAAACTGATTGTATGGTATCCATTCAAGTATCTTATCTTTATAATGATTAATACTTAATTGTATTTCCTGAATAAAACTATCAATTTCTTTATTCTGACTTGTCCAGTTTGTAAAATTTTCTTTAAAATAATTTATTCGGCATGGTTTACACCATCTATTTTTTATATCAGTATATTCTTCACCACATTTTTTACAATATCCATCTTGAAAAATCATAATATAATCTTTTGTGTCTGGATTTTGAGACATTCCATATATTTCAAGATAATTGGGTTTGTTACGTTTTTGAGCAAACATATCAAGATAATTAGTATCACGTTGAGCTATTCTATGCATTTCAAGAATAGATGTATGAACAACATAGTCATCATCGTAATTTTGAATATTTGTTAAATGTATTTCAACCTATTAGAAATAAAGATTAAATAATATGCTAAAAGTATTATTTTAAATTAAATTCATGAAAAAATATCATACCTCATTTAAAAATTTACCAGTAATATTTTGTGAATTATTAAAGCATTTCAAAATAACCATTGTATTGGATTCTCTTGTTAATAATTCCTCGTCATATTCTTTGTAACACAATGGTCCATCCTCCCATATTGCTGAATATATTGTAATAGAATCATCAATATTGCTTATTTTTTTAATATCATTAAATTGAGTGTAAGGTACCCATTCAAATACTAAATTATTATGATAATTAATTTTCAATTGCATTTCTTGAATGAAATCATCAATTTCTTCATTTCCACTAAACCAGCTTGCAAGATTTTTTTTCAAATGGTTTATTTGACATGGTTTACATAATGCATTCATTTCATTATTATTACTTACAACATTTTTACCACAATTTTCACAATATTTATTTTTAAGAACCATGATATAATCTTTAGTATCCGGGTGTTGGGATATTCCATATATTTTAGAAATTTTGTCGCTATGAAATGATATTATCCATGCAGTTGAATATGTTGCAACCTAATAAAAGAATAAAATAATAATTATTATATTAAAATGATTGAATCTATAAAGAAATGTTAAATCCGTACCTCATTTAAAAATTCATCAATAATATTCTGTGAGTCATATACACATTTTAAATCAACCGTTTGATTCAAATTTCTTACATATTCCTTTTTATTGGCATTATAACGTAATGGACCATCCTTCCATTTTGCTGAATATACTGTAGCAGAATCATCTTTATCTATTACTTTTATATTATCAAATTGATCATATGGTATCCATTCAAATAGTATATCGACACCACTATTCATACTTAATTGCATTCCTTGAATGAAATCATCAATTTTTTTATTTCCACTAGTCCAGTTAGTAAAATTGATTTTAAACTTATTTGTTTGACATGAATAGCACCATTCCTTATTTGTATATCTTTTATTACAACTTTTACAATAATCATCCTGAAGAACCATAAAATACTCTTTCGTATCAGGATTTTGAGTTATTCCATATATTAAAAGTGCCTCATCATCATCAAGATTTGTTGAATATGTTTTAACCTTATTAAAATATAAAAAAGAAAATTAAAATGTAAATAAATTATTATATTAAATTAAGATGTTTAAACTAAATTCATAAAAAATTTACGTACCTCATCTAGAAATTCAGTAGAACATTTTAAAACGATATTTTTATTTGATTTTCTAATATATTCATTAACTTTATTATCATGATATAATGGTCCATCCTTCCATATTGCTGAATATATTAAAGTAAGGTCATCTTTAATTATTTCTTTAATATCATTAAATTGATTGTATGGTATCCATTCAAATATTATATCAGATGAGTTATCAATATTTAATTGCATTTCTTGAATGAAATTATCAAGTTTTTCATTTTTACTGGTCCAATTTGTAAAATTTTCTTTCAAATAATTTGTTATACATTGTTTACACCATTTCTCTTGTATATCTGTATATACTTCGCTACATTTTTTGCATGTGTTTTGAGAAGACATTATATTTATTATTTTGAGGTTTACTTTGACGCTAGAATAACCTGCTTATATATTTTTGATTTTCATGTCGATCAACGCCTTAATGAAGGGAATTAATACGGGCTTAGCTTTTTTTGTGTGCCAAAGTCAACTGATCTGGTCAACTGATCAGACAGATCAGGTCAGTCGACCATGATAACATGGTAATCACCATTTAACCTGGCTGGCACATGCAAAACGTCATTATTACGTCATATTTCGTAACCTTGTTTACAGTACAAAAATATTATGCGAGGGCCGGATTATATAGTTATTCAGTACGGTACGATTTTGAAACCTGTTTGATCATTTTTCCAAAAATTTCAAAATTCCGTACTTGTATATTCTCTATAATTAAAAAAATAGTGTTTGTGTGACGAACCTTTAGATTAGTCTGTATAAATTAATTTTGAATTGCTGACGGCAAGTCATGTTGTACATCTAATCCAATTCCGGTTAATGAAATTTTAATCGGAATTTTTAATATTTATTTTTTTTTTCGGCTTTTTTTCCAATCTGAAATTTTTTTCCCCTTTTCCTTTTTCGGGTTGGTTTTTTTTCTTTCAAACCGAACTGAATACATTCTTTCACCATTTAGGTGATCGGATCAATGTTGCGACGCCACGGCAATTGCCGATTCTTATTATTATTAATAATAACTGAATATTATTTTTTTGTATCAAACTCAATAAATAATAGACTAACATAATTACTTATTTATTTATTTTTTGTAACAATAGATCGTTATACAGTAATTAATTTTTCGAGGTAAATTTTTTTTTATTTTATTTTATTAATAGAAACGTTTTCTAACGTTTCTTTATCTTCTCTTGTAAGGTTCTTGAGAATTTGCTGGATTGGGTACCATTGGAATGTGGAAATGGTAAGTTTTGTTACGAAACTTATTATTTTATATTTATATATAATTAGAAACGTTAACTAGCGTTTCTTCTTTTATTCTTTTGTAGGTGCTCTCTGGGTTCTTTCTAATACTGGATAATGGTTAGTTTTCGAAGTTCGTTTTGAACTTCAATTCTTTTTTAAAAAAAAATTTCTTTTTTTAAAAGAAATGTACTAAAATTTCTTTATTTATTTTGTAGGTTCCCTCCAGCCTTGATCTTGGATTGGGATAGCAGTTTTCGTAAGTTTTGGGAGATGAGTAGGGATTTGAGGAGACTTGAAGTTTCGTAACAGTTTTGTTACGAAGCTTTAAAGTTTTTTTTTGCATTTTAAAGGAATGTTTCTAACGTTCTTTATTTTTATTTTTTTTTTGTAGGTTTTGTGATACAACATTCCGAAATGGTGAAATAATGGTAAGTTTCTCATTGCAAAACAATTTTTTTTTTTACTAAGAAACGTTCTAACGTTTCTTTTTTACTTTTTTAATTTTAGGTACTTTGGGGTTTCAAATTCGCTAATTCGCTGAATCAGAACTGGTAAGTTTCTTAACTTACCTTTTTTTTTATTTTTTCAGAAACGGTTTAACATTTATTTTCTTTTTTCATGTAGGTTCTAAGACTATTTTGGGTACTGGATATTGAAATGGTAAGTTTTACAAATTATTCTGAAGCTATTATTAATTTATTTCATTTTAATTAGAAACGTTTATTAACGTTTCGCAACAGGGAAACTTTGATTTAATATTTTAATAGAAACGTAAACTTCACTTGTAGGTTTAGATTAGATTAGATTAGTATACAGTATATTTAGTATAGATTTAAAAATGTATCATTTGTTATTGAATAATGCAATAAATAAAATAATCTAACAATCTAAAATTATTAAATACAACAATATTTAACTATAAATAATATAACGCTATTTAACCTGCAGTCAATTTTTAACTGTATCGACAATTTAATCTGATATATGTCACGTGATATTTTCATCGATATATATCCCATGAAAAAATTTCCTGATGTATTTGACATGATTCACATAATGTATTCATTTCA